GGTCTGTAGTTCCCTGGGTCCTCCTTCTTGCCTTTTTTGAAGATTGGAGAGATGTTGGCCTTCCTCCAGTCCTCAGTCACCTCTCCTGTTCCCCATGACCTTTCAAAGACGATGGAGACTGGTCTAGCAATAACATCTGCCCCCTCTCTCAGCACTCGTGGGTGCATCCCATCAGGGCCCATGGACTTACGAATGTCCAGCTTGGTCAAGTGGTCTCTGACCCGGTCCTCCTCAACTGAGGGAAAACCTTCCTCTCTCCACACCTTCCCCCTTGCCTCCAGGGTATGGGATTCGTGAGGGACAGCTTTAGCAGTGAAGACCGAAGAAAAGAAGGCATTCAGTAACTCTGCCTTTTCTGTGTCTTCCGCCACAAGGGCACCCGTCTCATTCATCAGTGGGCCTACATTTTCCCCAGTCTTCCTTTTCCTATTGATATACTGAAAGAATCTCTTTTTATTTTCTTTAACTGCAGTGGCCAAGCTGAGTTCTGATTGAGCTTTGGCCCTTCTAATTTTCCCCCTACATAGCTTTGTTATATCTTGATAATCCTCATAAGATGCCAACCCCCATTTCCAGAGAATATAAGCTTTCCTTTTGTTCTTGAGGTCCAGCCAAAGCTCTCTATTTAGCCAGGCTGGTCTTCTTCCCTGTCGGCTCGCTTTTCGAGCCATGGGGATGGCCTTCTCCTGTGCTTCTAAAGATTTTTCTGTTTGTTTTGTTGCGTTTTTTTTTTTTTTTAACTTGTGTGTCTAAATGTTATGTTTTAATAAAAAAATGGGCTTTTTAAAAAGAATATTTATATGTGTAATGCCTGTCTTTTATGTTTTTTCTAATCCTAAAATTGGTGGTCTGCAATAAACATTATTTAATGTGCTTTTTGTACACAGAAATGTACTAAACAAGTGTGTTAATGCATGGTGAAAACCATCCAGAGACAAAGATTTATCTTTCATCTGAAAGAGACTTAAGGGAAGACCAGTTCTCTTAGCTGTTCAAAAAGTAGGAAGAGAAAATTAGTTTCTTTCTTAACTGTCAGAAGGAATTGGAGAGAAGCACCTGTCTAAACATTAATTCTATTTGAACAATACTTGACACTCTTGCAAATGTGTTTGCTTTTGTTAATCTGAAAAGATTCCAAGATTTTACTATCCAAGACTGTCAAATGGGTGATTGGTACATATGGATTTAAAATATCTTTTTATAGGATTTTTTTTTGGTCTGCCCAAAAAGTGGTTCTGAGCCACAAAAGTACTTTTTTCATCCATGGGGCATCGTGTTTTCTCAGTTTTGCTGCAACTGATGTGGAAACTGAGTATGGATAATCTCCCAGGGATCTGATTAAATGTTAGCTCATTTAAAGTTTAACACGATGTTTTAATGACACGCAAATGAAAAAGCAATTGTAGCATTTTTGGAACACAGTGTTAGAGTGTCACTGTTGAAGTGCTGTCCTTTGAACCATGTAGGAAAACCTGCTCTTACGTGAGAGCTGTGAAAATGGGAAGCAGATGTGGTAGAAGCGTAATTCCAGGATTCCCAGTTTACTTGAGTAGAAGAACAGTTAAGACAACATTGAGAGAGTTTTGAAAATCTCATTTCTATTTCGAAAGAACTACCAATATGATAGTTTCTTCTTTGTGAAGTTTGTTTTTACAAAATCTTGCGGCATATTCAAAAGGACAATTAAAAACAGATGAGAATAACATTTACATCATTTACATATGCAGTTCCAAGTGTGTGTCTGCGCTGAAATGCCAAACTTACTAATTCTTTTATCTTGTTAACTGGATACTTGTCTTTTTATGTTAACTTAGAGCTTTGCCTTAACAAGGAATAGCCTTTTCTTCAAAACCAAAACCAACCCAAAGTCATATTTTAGGCTAAATTTATACTACTGGTGGTACAGCTGGAGAATATGCTGCTGTCATTTTGATGACACTAAAAATACAGTAGTTTTGAAGGGGGTAAATGTTCCATTACATCTTGCGCTGTTGAAAAAGGAAAATTCAGGCACTGAGTTCTCTCTCTTGGATGAGATGCGTAATGCATCTTTACTCTTATCACTGAGATTCTTGTTGAACTTCATTTTTAGTAGGGGATGAAGGTTTCACATCACAATAACTAAATTCATGTCCATAAACTAGGTCCTTCTGAAAGCTTTCATCTAAGTGTGGCTCATGAACTGTGACAGTGCTCCACATGTTGTTCTTCCCCAGGGTTTTATCTAAGAGTTCTCTCATTCTCCTGTTTTCTTTGGATGTGGATTCCCAGATCATTTCAAGTTCCCCTTCCGCTTTCCTAGAAAAAAATGAAGAGAAATCCTAATTTTAAAAACACTTTTCAGCAGTATGTAATTAAGGTATGTGGACAAGCAAATTATAAAATGCATGTATTTAGATGCTTGAAATTATGTGATTGACATTAGTTCCTCCTTTGTTTTTAAAAAAAGCCCACTAAATGTAATGTCAGAGAGGATATGATCAGAAAAAAAAGATTTGGACCTGTGTAATAAGTTGGATTAAGTCCACACAAAACAGCAGTGCCTGCGAGATCCAACTAGCCTGACTGCTGCTGTCCCCTGAATCGGGCTCCCTCGTGATGGCAGTGTCTGTCTCGCACACCCCTTCTGCCACGTGCCAGGAGTTCCGCGTCTCCCCTCAGAGGCTAAAAATGTCTGATGAGACCGAGCATCAGACGCTGCGCTGAGCTTGTGCCTCTTCGTGGAGGTCAAACAGAAGTGGTGTAAATGGTTGGGTTTTTTTTGGTGGGGGGAGTCACAGATAGTGAAGGACAGTCCTTAAGGCATTATAACCTTATGGGCCGATTTCTCTAACTGCCCGAGCATAAATTAATGAATTATTTAATGTTTTTCTCAAGAAAAAGGTTATTTTTCAAACATGGCAACTAACAGGATTTAATAATGCAGTGTATTCCAGCAACAGACTTTTTAGTAAGTTATATTTGGTCAAGGTTAATAAGCTCTAGGGTTTCCTCTGACTCGCTTCTAGTATTTGGCAAAATATAAAATAATCAGAAAACCAAGATCCTTTGAAGTGGAAAGGAAAGCTCTTGTGTAGAAAATGAGCGCACAAATCTTAATGGTGTAGACTGCTCTAACACTGTCGCTTCAAGACGCTACCTGAAGTGCTAGACGGAGGCGGCCCTTTACACAAATTCTCCTGAATACCAGCTCTAAAAATGAGAAACAAATCAATGCAACACAGAAATGCATTGAGATTATGGGTGGCTGTCAGGCCACGTTTCTGGCAAAAGGTGTATACTAGAAAATATATAATCAGTACCTCTTAGAGAGCCCTTTGTGATCCGAAACACTGAGACTGAAGCGGTAAGTAGTGGTGCAGACACAGTACTAGCTCATGTTGTGTTTCACCTCACCGCTGGATATAGAGATGGAAGGTGAAAAAACCCTTATTGAGATTATCCTTGTCCATATTGCTTGGAATGAACTTTTGGTAGTGGAAGAGATCGTTATCCACTAAGAATGGAATTAGAGCAAAAGAAAGCAGGTGAAAGCAGTACGGTTGTGAAGAGCAGCCCAAGACTCTGCTCAAGAACACAAGAAGCCACATGAATGAGCCGGACCTTTCCCTTTCTGCCAAGTCTCTAAAAAGCTATTGAGAAGGAAGCGCTCACTTTTGAAACACCAACGCTGAGATGACTTTGTTCTCACAAAGTGTATTTCTCCTTGAGCCAGGGGTAAGAATGTCTGATTCTACTAGTTACTCAGTATATGCTTCAAAATGCTTTACAAAGGCAATTATCGTTATCCTCTGCTTACGGTTTGGGGGATGTGAGGCACAAAGAGTAAAATTACATGACTGAGCTCCCCCAACAAGCCGTTCTGAGTTTCGCCTGTTGGGTGACTCTGGCCCTTTGTATTGTGATCTCGGAACATTTTCAGCATCTTGTTTTGTTTTTAAATGAACTTTTCTATTGTCACAGGGACAAGCTCCTCTTCTCTGTTGCCACTTCTCTCCAACCAGAGTCTGTGTGAGGTGTGCACAGCACTCTTACTGTCTAATAGCAATACTCAAGAGCTTAATCTGGTTTACCCTTACTGTAGTGCAGAACCTTACCCAGGCTTCATTTCATCTGCTAATTTCTAAAACCAAGACTTTTTTTTAAAGATTGTTCTGTTGCTAATGCTTGTATGAGCTTGAGGCAGAGAAAATTTGAAAATGAAACTAAAGATCACTGAAATGTGAATGGTAGTTTAGTGCTGTCAGCATGCCTGACAAATGGGATGCTTCAGTTCAATGGCAACTGCATCGATTTTAGACAAAATAGTTTAAAAGGATTAGTTTAAAAAATATCCACGTAGTTAAAATTACTTCAGTAGCAAAGGAACAGATGCCTGTAGAGGTAGTGGTGTATCTGAACTCTTCTTGGAGGACTGATTTTTAAACAAGAGCTGAGGTGCAGAATCTGCAGGTGCTCACTGACTTTGCTGTGGCAGGAGCCGTGGGAGCGTGTTGCTGCCCGGGGCGCGCAGTGCTGATGCCGCGGCTTTGGGCACAGCGTGCGCAGTCACAGATGAGCCTTCTCGGGGTGGCAGAACACGCTGCTTTTACAGCTCAGCTGTTCTTCAGGAGAGCCGCCAGGCGTAGCAGGTATGACCCAACTGTAGTTAGACAAGGCGCTTTTGTCTCTGTGGGTTTTTTTTTGTTTGAAAATTCTGACCTGATCACAATCCAAAATACATTCGGCAGAACAGGCTGGGGAGGGGGTGTGTTTACTGCTGCTCGGCACAACTCCCTGCTCTCCGGGGCAGTGGGGTTACCTGGCAGCTCACTTCCCACAGCTCCTGATGGTCTGTACTTTTTTCTCAACACCAAAATTTCCTTGCTCCTACTTCACGGGGCAAGGGCCCTCACTACCCTTCTCTTACATTTTTGTGTGTCTCACCAGAAATACCCTCAAGCTCAGTAAAGCGTCGCTGTCCTCGACTACGACTGCTGTGGCATTGCCCTGTACACGTCCCACCCTAACAGGTATCCGTTGATACTCCGTTGTGCCCACAGCAGTTGCTTCACCTCTTCAAACATGTCTGTCACTTGGCATTTAAAACTGGATACGTGCTCACAGTAAATGTGTCCTGTTTCCAGATGTCTTTAGGCAAAAACCATTAAATTTGCTTCTCATGAACATAGGCTGTTGTTACTTAAATGAGTACAAATAAGAATTCCATTCAACCCCTCACCTAGCCAAAATGTAAGGTTTTATACCTTGTTGAGAGCAAGCAAAATGCCCGTGCTGTACTGATATCTGAGGATGAAAATGTTAACAGAAGCAGAGTCTGAAAGCAGCTTATTCTTTACAAAAGACAGCGCTTTCTGCCCTCACTGAACTAAATTAATTCAGCCATAATTGCAGAGTATTATTTGGGCTGCTGGCTCAAGAATTCATTTTCATCTATTGTGTAACAGTTTGTTTAAATAATCCTTACCACAAAGATGAACACTTTTTACCACGGTTACAATTTCCTATGTAACCTTACAGGTAAGACAGCTCCTCCCTTGCCTGTGCACAGCTGCGACGCTTTTCTACCGCTGACCCTCCTGGGAGGACAGTCCGAGGCAGTTCCATCACTAAGGCTTTCAAGGCTGCATTTAACACCCCAAGTCCAGCAGCTGTAACTATCTCAACGTGCTGTTCCTCTGCAGAAGACTTACGAAATACACTGTGACCTAGAAAACCCATAAAGGTAAGCATCCTGTGAAATAAGACTTGAGACATTTACGAACCTGGTTTTCTACCCTGGAACCACATTAACAACTTTGTTTATATCTGACACAGGCGATGCATTTCATTTAAGGAAAGGTATGTGATAACGATGACTCACAAGACTGTAAACAATAAAAATGTCATTATGATTATCAGCTGCCTGAAGAACAGAAAATGATCCTGCTTTCTCATCAGTTGCTTTAGGCAAAAGGTTGCTGTGAATTTCCAGCATTCTCTAGCAAAGGCTGTAATTATTGAGAAGGTTCTACAGAGCAGCTCCTAGGAAGGTAAAATTTGCCTGTCTTTAGAAGCTTTAAAAGCTTTTATTTATCAAAAGAACAAATACTTCTGTATGCATTTCTTTTTGGAAACCAAGTGGAAAAATTCTGTTCCCTTGGACGCAATGGGTAAGTAGTGTAACCTCTGATTTTTGTCATCAGGTGAAGGATGATGCAGGAGGGGAGAAAATGTCAAAGGAAAGTCACCTTTGTTATGTTTTATGAAGCCCACATTAGTTTGGATGCAGCCTTGTTAAAAACAGAACGATGAGAGAAGAAACAAAAATGAGGAAGCACAAGAATATCGCGACTGTGTCTAAACAAGCGTTGCTTCTGAACACGGTGCTGTCTGCAGCAACTCCACCTCTGGGCTCGCTGGCACTGTGCAAGGGGCCGACCTGCCGTCAGCCGGGTTTGCTGTAGTCCGGACTGATACGGTGCGGCTGTTCGTCTCTGATGCAGGGAAATAGCAGATGACGAAGCAAAATAGGGCTTGAAAGACAAACATAAACTTTATTTTTTACTTTCAGAGTTGTGTTTGTTGTATTATACTCTAATAAACACTGTTAAGGCTTAACTACCACCGGAAAAAGGCAGTCCCCAGTTACACTGTTTATTAATGTCAGAGACTGCAGAAATGCATGACATTTGTGAGGTTCATCTTGTGTTTCCATAAATCATTTTTCTTCATCACCATATTGTTAAATAGTGTCGTTCCAGGTGCAGATTTTGCTTCTTAAAGTTAACTGCAAGTATTGATTTTGTATGCTTACTGAAGAAAAATGAGTCAATTCAGACTGAAGAGAAAAAAGTGATTTTGTATAAATTTTGTATGGAAAGTGTAATTAATTATTTGACACGGCTGTGTTATGTCATCTCATTTACCTTCTCTGGGACCAGAAAGGTAAATTTTGAATGATCCATGGACTTTGAACTATGCTGTATTCTACGTTTAAAAAACCCTCTTTCTTTATCTAGCTGTTCTCTACTATAAAATATTGTAACCTGAGCCCAGAGGTATGAAAGGCATTTAATTAGTTAAAAATCCTAAATAACTACTTCCAGAGAAATGTGGAATAGTCAAAATACTGTTTTCTCATGCAAATTTTAGAGATTAGTGGCACGTTCATTGTACAATTCCCAGCTACTCACACATGTTTAATAGCACTCTATAAAGTAATTGAGAGGAACTGTGCTGATATAGCTCAGGTGGTACCAAGCCCTGCTTTTCTATTGTCTTCAAATCTATTATTTCACAATGGCAGAGATGAGTTGCAAAATGATTGCTTAATTACCTCTCTTCAGTTGTAAAAGGTTTTTCCTGTATGCTGATAACTTGAATGTGCTATGAAGCTTTCCACTACCAGAAGGGAAAAATACCTTTAGAGAACCCTATATTAAAAGGATATTTAAAGACTGACAGTCATAATCTTGTATAAATCTGTTAAATTATCTTTTTTTTCTTTTTTTTTTTTTATTCTGCACGTAGCCAGTCTACGTAACTTATTAACAGAACAGTAAGGCAGATTGAAAAGGAAACCCCTCATATGTGTACTCGTTAGACTGCTTTAATTTCCTACTATTCTGAAAACTCTTAAGCGTTGTGGAGGGCAAAATTTTCAGACTTTAGCAGAAAATGCTATTAAATAATTAACATATATCTTGATGACTTATAGACACCCCCACCCCCAAAATCATCAAAGACTAGGCTCAGGTTGATACTCTTCTTAAGAAGAAGTCTTGAGAACAGTAGTAGTCATCCAGAATAAATTCCTCCTTCAAAAGGTGTTTCTCGGAGCTGGGAAGGACGGAATTAAGAGGAGCATTTCAGCATTTTCAGTACAGCTAAGACACGAGTGAGGAAAGATACCCAGAATACAGCACATGAGGCTGTGATGAAAAGCCGGAGCTGGCGGCGGGGTGCCATTGGCTCCCCCACCCCTTTCCCTGCCAGGTCTGACTGTGTCGCTTCTGCCGCCACTGACTTACCTTTTCTGCTGCAGCACTTCAGCGAGGCTCTCCTGCTTGTCTTGCAGCAGGCGCTGGAGATGCTGCATTTCTTGCTGGTACTGAGCAGTCTTCCCGGCGAATTCCTTCTCCTGCTCAGTCATTTTGAGACTGATATCTCCAAGCTTCCCAGCTGCTTTCTTTTTATATACCTGCAAGAGTTAAAGATGATAGGAGAAAGAAGGACAACTCACTACCAACGAAAGAAATAGCTAGAGATACTAATTTGCAGTTTGATCTTCACATCAGCACTGCCTTGCTTAAACATGTCAGGTAGGATGCATTATGGTTTTTTTAATACCTATTTGTTAATTTGAAGGTATTAACCTTGTGCTTTGTTCTGCCTATAAAACCAGTGTGTAGAGTGTATACCATACCGTATGTTTGTCTTACGAGTGAAAAGAACTGGTTGCAATAAAAAGGGGTTGCTTTCCAAGATGCACAGCTACACTTCACAGCACGTTGCTTACCACATTGCTTGTCCAAGTCATATTTATCAATGCGTATCATGAAAAAGTGTTTGTGTTCTGTTAGTTGTTTAATCTCAATACTAAAAGGAAGAAAAGAGTGGCTTCATGCTTTAAAATAACTTGCTGCTTCACATAATAGTGCCTTCTGTTCAGGGAAGCTCAAGTGATTTTTTGCTTTCTGGCAATAATAGTCAAATATATTGGTCTAATCTCAAAAACAAGAAATCCTTTTTGTACAAAGGGATTTTGCTTTCTGAAAGAACTTCCCCATTAAATCACCTAAGCACACAAGGAACTGAAAAATGTGGCTTGTGTATTGTTATATATTTCTACATGCCGCTGCTCTTGACAAAAACAACAGGTATTATCCAGTATTAGCTTTTTTCTTGTGATTACAAACAGAATGCTTAAACTGTTAACTGTATCTGCAAAATGTGATGTTCGATATAGGCTACAGGACAGGGTTTTGGGATGGAAGCACCTCCTTTAATAAAACTGCAAACTATTTGGTGAATCTTTGAAAATACTGCTATTTATGTCTTGCTAATATCGAGTTTTATCTAAGGTGTTAATCACTAAGGTTTTATCTTCATCTGAATCAAAGCAGAAAGAGTATGCCTTTTGGAGGAAGGAAAAAAAAAAAAGGCAGTTTTGAGTATGTGCTGCAAGCTATATAATCCTTTCCACAAACTGCTTCCTTTTTAGCTCTTATAAAATGTGTCCTTTTGGAGTTTCATTTTCTGGAAGTAACAGGATAGTGATAAATAATAATATTTACCTACAATGTTAGTCATTCCATATTTAAGGCTGACTTCCAGGTTTTTTTTCCTAGCTTTTCCCTGTTTTCCCAGGTTAACCTGCAAGTTAACCAGTCACATCACTCAACTGTTTAGATTCCCAGAGAAGTCTTCCAAATGTAGTTAGATGCTTGTAACGCTATGGGAGGATGAAGGTAACCGCGTTCCTTCTGAGCAGAGTGGTGCTTAGAGCTCGCCTAGAGGAAGCGCAGAGCATGGGAAAACAGCTGAACTTTTCACCTCTGTCCGTAAATGCCTCCTCCAGCTCTGGATCCGGAACCTGAAATTCTCTCCTGAGGTCAGGTGCCTATAATTATTTCAGAGAACTGGAAAGAACTTCCTCTCTCCTTTAACACATAAGAGGCTGATAAAGCAAGCAGCCAATGGTATTGGTGAAATCCATCTTTTATCTAGTGGTCATTGATCATCCAGCTGGAGGGAGGTGTGTGCTTGAAGCTGCGCTCTGCCTGAGATGGTTCCAGCCTGTGGTCCTACATGTCCCACAGCTGTCTCTTGGCGTGGCGTGCCGGCTCTTCATTTGCCAACTGAAGCTGTGTCACACGTGCAGAACGGTTGCAAAATCAATGGGGCACAAAGGGCAAAAGTACACCATTTTCTGACCTAATGATTAGGGCATGAAACTAGATATGAGGGATGCACAGTTCTGATCTCGCTTCTATGATTATAACTGAGTCTATTTGAAATGCGTAAGCTGTCTCAGCAGAACTCAGCAGTACGGGTGAGGAGTGCCCAGCCTGCCCCGTACTGGCCCGAGGGAGCTGGGCCAGGTCGGGGTGGTTTGGGGCACACGGGCACGCGCAGCTGCCGGCACTGACAGACCCTTCACAGCAGGCTACTACCTTTCAGTTCTGCAACACAACCTCTATTAATTTTCTCTGAAGCAAAGCACGTAGCGGTAATCAGACTGGTGGGGATGACAGTTTTCAGGAAGGGGATGAACACACATGGCTGGAACGGGCAATACTTTCCTCTAGAGCTGAAAAGGGGAGTCTGCCCGCGGTCGTGGCATTGCAGGTACACCATAAGCACCCAAGATGAGGCATGATTGTGGATGCTGCAGCTGCAACTGGCGAGGACATAATTTACATTCTTCTAAAGTAGTTTTGGGCACCATAATTCTTTTACACCTCGTGTACTTAATTATAAACTGGAAACTGGATAATTCTGGATAGAGAGCCAACAAAACATTATTTCTACCAATGTAGGCTGCTGGCGGCTGTGATATGTGTAATGATCTGGTGCCAAGATCCTTGTTGAGGCAACAAAGCTATTTTCTGTCAATCATGTATTGTTTTTCTCCTGTCCTTTACCAGTAAAAATTAGTATCATCCCTTCCAAAAGAGATCAGTCAAAGTACCACCTGAAGAAAATTGTCTCACCGTCTCTATAAAAAGTGTTATAATTCTGATCCTGACAGAATAGCCCTGTAATGGGAACCCTGATGAAATTTTTACTGGGTGCCATGGAACATTGCCAATTGTCTCCCATGGCAACTAAAAACTAAAATACGTTAATTAAGATCACAGACAATTATCTTCAGGGCTGCGTAAAAAGTCATATACTGGGGGGGCTGGGGGAGAAGTCCCTTTTTAGTAGTAGGCAAAGGCACTGTTTATACTTACAACCTTCCCAGTAAAATTGGACGTGACAGACGAAAAGTGACAGCCTATATATTCAGAAGTTTTAGTGAAAGAACATCTGACAGTATTGTGGTGTTAACAGAAAAAATGTTTCCTCACAAACACTAGATTTCTGGTCTGCTAAGGGTTTGTTTCTGTTTCTTAAAACCTCTACTCAGTCTCTGTGAAAAGGATGTGGGCAAAATGTAGAAACTTTTAAATTCAAAAGCCAAGAAAATGAAGAAAATATTCATCTGTAGTTGTGATATTATGTGCCACAGTAAATAAGCTCACTTATTTGCAGATTGATACTGGCACACAGATGAAGGGTAAATAGTTGGGAAATCAATTAAAAAGGGAAAAGCTGTTTATGCTAGAGAAACTTTAAAGCTAAGCGTCCAAAGGTATGACATAGTTGTGTGTGTACAAGATCTGCTTTGACAAAAAATAATCTACCATTAGGTAAACAGAACTTTCTGGTTTAGAAATGTAAGATAAAATTGACACAAGAAAAGGAAATTGAAATTTCTATTACTTGAGTCTTACTTCATTCATGAGCACCATGAACATAAACCACTTTGCAAACTAATCCAATATTATGAAATAAATTTAAAGCTGGAATTACCTTAAAGCTTAGTAGCTCACTAGAGGAATCACTTTATACAGGATATTTCCTTATTCTTATCTTAGACTATTCTTTAACTTATTCTTATCTTCTATTTCTGTAACCTGTTTATCTTTAACCTATTTATATCTTAATTCTCTTCTCCCGCCCTAAAGAGGGGTATGATGAAGTATTCTATTGCCATGTAGAACAGAATTTGCATAAATGCAGGAGAAGCCTCGAGTTCACTTGTTTAATCTTCCACCTGCTTTTTGAACTTGTAGGTTGAACCTGTCAAATTTGCAAGATCTCTATAACCAGGAAGGCAAGAAACTTCTTTTTAAGAAATTGGGATTTCTCATGGTAATAGCAAACTTTTGAGGGCTGAGGGAAGATGTAGTAATGCTGAATTTCCATTTTCTAAGCAACACGGCAAGTTACTTAGTTTTATTAATTTTATGAAACAGAGCACTGCTACAATAGTAGGACAGATTAATAACTCAAATATTGGGCTGTAGCATCAAGGCAACGTTTAGGAAATATTTGGTCTTGTTACATTGCAGGTTTATCCTACAAGGTTCAAAAGACTTAACCTGAAGTTTTAAAAGGTCCTTAAATGTGCTAATGCTAAACGCTTACTCTTAATTCCATTGCTTTATAACATGCCACTGCTCTCCTGGCAGAGACTGTCTAGTCTGTGCAAGCTCTAGTAACAAAGGCACTTGCTAAACTTTCTGATACATGCAGTTTCTTCTACCTCAAGAAGGTACAAGTAGATCTCAGATGTGCTAAGTTAATACTTTTGGGAAAAAAAAATCCATTAAAAATAGATAAATTTAGTGATAAGCTGTCATGTGCAATCTCTTACTTTAGAGATTACACATTGCTAGCAGCAATCAAATCAAATTTCTGTATTTTTTATTGTACAAATGAAGGGTTGTTAAAAAATGAAAATAAAACAAACAAAACCCCCACAGACCTAACAACCGAACACACAAAACCCCCCTAATTCGATTCCTGTTAGCAATCGTAATTATGCAAAATCCTGCTGTAGAAAACATGACATTTTTTAGTTTGTTGTTGTGACAAATTTGAGGCTTTGATCCAACTCATCACTTTGGTATCTAGTTACTAATTTGGAATTTTCTACATACAAGGGGATTGTAGTTTCTCTGCAAACTATTTGAGCTACCAAGTATAATTTAGAGGGGCTTAGCATGGTCGTTTGCTCTTAATTCGGAAATTGTCAATTTAAATTTATTATTTGGCTTGGAAACCCCCAGAAATATTCTAGCAGGAACCTAGGACTACTTTTTTTTTTTTTTTAAGAAGAATCTTTGAGTTCATAAAACTGCTCTTTGTGCTTAAAAAATTTTCTGTTAGGATCTTTACCTGTGAGGGGTTGTTCTTTTTAGAAGGTTTAAGGAACAAACATACAAAACTTAAAAAACTAAAATAATCATCCTTGAAGGACAATCCTTTTTTTCATATAGGGGGAAAAAAAATATATGTAAGCTTTTTTTTTTTTTTTTAAGGGCTCATGCCTTTGCTCAACTCTGAAAATAGGAAGGGGAATTCTTAAAAGTCTTAGAGGGGTTAACATTTTGCAACATTGGACGTTTGTTAACTTTTGGGGTTTGA